CCTCACTTCCATTCCCTGGGGACCCGCAGGCCCCAGGGGCAGCAGCTCCCAAGCCCCGCGGCGCTGGGGTAGCCTCCGGGCTGGGCCCTGCCGCCCGCCGCCCCCTCAGGGCAGCCCCCGACGAAGCCTTTTCCCTCCAGCCGCGGGAAGGTTCGCGCTCCCGGGCTCCCGTCCTGCTGCGGGATTCAACCGCCCCGACATCTGCTGGGGACGTACCAGGGCAGGCCGTAGGCAACCCAGGAGGCTCCTGGAGCGCATGGAGGCCAACTTCGTAAGCCAAGTAGTAGCCCTACCAGAGGGGCTGCAGTACTGGACCTAGTGGTCACCAATGTAAGTGAGCTCATCGGTGACGTCAGGACTGGAGGCAGCCTCGGCTGTAGTGATCACGCGCTGGTAGAGTTCACAGTCCGGAGAGGTAAGGGTCGGGTGAAGAGCAGAGTCAGGACCCTGAATTTTAGGAAAGCAAACTTCCAGCTCTTCAAGGAGTCAATCAACAGGAAGCCCTGGGAAATGGCCCTCAGGGACGAGGGAGCAGAACAGAGCTGGCAGGTCTTCAAGGACGCTTGCCATAGGGCACAAGAGCTCTCGATCCCCAGGTGCAGGAAATCAGGCAAGGAAGGGAAGAGGCCGGCATGACTGAGCCACAACCTGTGGGTCAAACTAAAGGACAAGAAGAGATTGCACAGGCAGTGGCAGAAGGGACTGGAATCTTGGGAAGAGTAGAGGGACGCTGCCCGGTTGTGTAAGGATGGCACCAGGAAGGCCAAGGCTCGGCTGGAGCTGAACCTGGTGAGGGATGCAAAGAATAATAAGAAGGGCTTCTACAGGTACGTCAACCAGAAAAGGAAGGTGGCTCTGTACAAATCTAGAGCGTGCATCAGGGAGGGACTGCTAGGGAGCCGCGGGGCTCTTGGCTGTGTCACACAGTTACCTGCCGGAGTCCTCCAAGGTGGCGAACAGCCTGGATGTGCTGGTTCAGAAAACTAGAGACCTTGCAGTGACTGCCGGCCATCTCTGTCACTGGATGCCAAGGGAAGGTGGAGCCCTTTCTTCCAGCTTGTGTCTGCTTCTTTCCAGGTTTGAGATTAAGCCACCCCCTGGAAGAATAGCCAAAGACTCTTCCCCCGCAGAGGGATCCAGGGAGGAAGAAGACTGTCCTACTCTTAAGCTGGGACTGAGCAGGTCTGCACCTCCGCTTGTCTGGGTGGTCACAAATCGCTCTTCTGGAGAGGCGTCTGCTTTCACAGTTGCCGGGAGCCCTCCTGACAAACGTCTCCGTCATCAAAATGGCCTCAAGTTGCGCCAGGGGAGGTTTGGGTTGGATATTCAGAAAAACTTCTTCACCGAAAGGGTTATCAAGCACGGAACAGGCTGCCCAGGGAAATGGTGGAGTCCCCATCCCTGGAGGGATTTAACAGACGGGGATGTGGGGCGGTGCTTGAGGACACAGTTTAGTGGTGGGCTTGGCAGTGCTGGGTTAACGGTTGGACTCGATGATCTTAAAGGTCTTTTCTAACCTAAACAATCCTATGATTCTATGATAAAAGAGGCGTTCACCAAGCAAATTGACAGGGGCCAAGGAGTCAAAAGGGGAACAAGACAGTACAAAGAGGCCTGTGCGCAAGTGAGGCTCTTGGGGAAGAGGATGAGGGCAATGGGATGGTCTTGTACTCATGGGAGCAAGAGACTTCCGCTGGGCACGCTGTCTGTATTGGTGCTGAAAGGCAATTAGCGCATCTCATGGGCTGGCGTGTTCTGGCTGGACTGCAGGTTCACACCAGGGTTTTGTGAGACACTGCTGTCAGCATCATGCCTATTCACCTTCTTTCCAGTGAAGGGTTTAACCAGCTGTTATCCAGTCTGAGGGCAGCGTTCCAGTCTGAACAACAGTGAGACTTGGGAGAAGACATGGCTAAGAAACAAGCGAAAGAAGGTAAAGCAATGGACGAATCCTGACACAGGCTTGCAGGTTTCCTTACCACCAGGGGGTGGAAGCCAAGGCTACACAATGCATGCCCACTGGACCCAGTTGCAGCTGATCTGCGGAATGACACCTCCCCACTCCATCCCGTTATATCCCTAGTATATCTTGCCAAGCGCTCTTTCACTTGAGCCCCGTCAGAGAAGACCTAAGGCCTCCTGGGAAACGTGACCCCAAGGCCATCAGGATTACTGCCGTAGACAGTTTCCAACAGGACTGAGCAGCTCTGCCTGTGCTTCTTGTCTGAGCTGCCACAAAGACGCTGTTGTTCTGAGCCGGTTTCTCGTGTCTCACTTGCAGGGAGTCCTCCTGAGGAGAGCCTCCTTCGTCGAAGGAAGCTTTCCCCCGTGACGTTACCTGTGCTGAAAAGAAAGGATGGCAAGGGAGAGCAAGCCTTGGGAGCCAAGCCCCCAGAAAGGTGAGAGGCTTGGAGAAACACAGCGGGGCAGGGGTGTGCCCTTGTCCTTGGGGAGTGAGATGTTTATGATGGGCACGTTGCCTGCATCAGCTCTGGAAGGCTCTCTGGACGTGTCCCCAGGGTGGGCGTTTTCTTGCTGGAGGACAAGTGTTTGGTCGGGTTTTGTGAGACTCTTGTGTCAGCTTCTTGGTTCCAGGACTTGAGGATCTTCTTCTCGCTCCCCTTAGATGGCTGTGAACCCATCCCTGGTTTTAGGGAGGCACAATACTCTGCTGGGCAAAAGGAGATGGAGGTTTTCCTGCAGGAGATAACTTTTCTCCCTACAAGCCTGTCTCCTGCTTTCACACCGTGCCCCAGCAGCAAAGCCCCCTGCAGCCCCACGCCCAGCACAGTGACTACCAGACAGTCCTTCAAGTCATTGTCAGCTGGGGGCTCTGCAGGAGGCAGTCTTTTCAGATGATGCAAAAGGGCCCAGTCCTGAGCACCCTGAGCACCTCTTCCTCCGTGTAGGAGAAGGCAAGGAGCAGGCGACACATTTCTGCTGCCCAACCCCCTTCTGCTGCAGAGGCAGGTGCCCAACTCGCGAGCCTGTGCTCGCAAAGGAGATGCGAGTATATCTGGTGGAGTCCAAACTCTGCCCGCTCTGTATCTTTAGTGTGCTACCAGCGATTGAGGGGAGCTCTGTGCAGGAGGGCAAGAGCAAAACGACTCATCAAGGCAGGCAGAAAACTGAAATCCCTGCTTGCAAAGGCCATCGGAGAGTGGGGCAGGTACGTGATGTGGCCACATGTCACCACCGTGTCATAGGGAACAGTGGAGAAGTGCTGTTATGGCATTAGGAGCAGGACACTGCAGCCAGAAGGGCTCGGGACAAGGCACAGAAACCCCCCAGTACCTGATATTAATGCTGTCTGCACGTGTGCCTATGAACCCTGCAGGAGGTATGCTACCTGTGCATGCAGCAAGAGGAACGAAATCTCCGGGCAGCCTTGCTGGAAGAGAAGGAAAAGCAGGAAAGGGCCGAGCGGGCAGAACAGCAGGGCTGGCAGGCCAGCATGGCTGCCCTGAACGCCCAGGCACTGGCAGCACCTTCAGCCAGGCAGAGGAATGGCATTTCTTCAGCCAGGCAGGGCTGGGGGTGTGGAAGTCTGCAAGGCACGGCTGTGTTGTTTCCCCAAATTGTGGGGAATGTGGGGAAGGGGAGCTGGGCTGGGCTGAGCTGGGCTGGGCTGGGCTGGGCTGAGCTGGGCTGGGCTGGGCTGTGCAGGGACATTTCCTCTGGTGGCCCCTCCAGCCAAAACGCACTCTTTTTTTCCCCCTCGCATGACAGAGGAGAGCATGTGCTGTCTTGAAGTTGGCGGTTGACAAAACAGGGACAAAGGAGGATCTAGAAGAGAGACGAGATTACCTGGGAAGAAGTTCATAAAGAAGGAAACCAGGAGTTCCCCAGCAGGTAACTGCTGCGTCTCAGCTGCGCCACTTGGGAAGCCCAGCGAGCCCCTGGTCTGACCCCGACATCCCTGCGGGGACTTGCAGCTGTGATTCTCCTAATGCCTCCGCTAGGCCTGCAGCGTCCCTGCTGCAGCCCGCCATGGGGCTGGTGCTTTTGGGAGACAGACCCCTGCATTTGCCTGCTGCCTGAGAAGCCTCTCTTGCTTTTCAGAAATCGTACTGGCCCACTCCGCCAGCCTACATCAGGAGAAGGGAGTATGACAGAGAGCTCCAGGAGAGACGGGAGGTGTGGGGATGGGAACCAAAGCGTGTACCAGCGAAGATCTCACTGCAGCAGTAAGTGTGCACAGTTCCTGCCACGTCCTGGCGCCGTTTCGTGGCAGTGAGTCGGCACTGGGTCAAGGATCCCGACCCTGAGCTGTGGGGCTGGATAGAGCACCCTCCGATTTCTCCTGGCCTGGGAATGACATTGGTCAGCCCCTGCCTCCAGGTACCTCTCCGCAGCTCCAAGCGAGTGCTTAGGGCTTGTCCTGAGCTGCGGACGCTGGGTACCGATGGGACCACGGGTGCGCGGCCATGGGGCAGGGCTGGGGCAGGACGAGTCTCAGGGCACGACAGCAATTTTGTCTCTGCTTTTGCACCTCCAGATGAGGTGTTAGAGGTGGACAGAGCCCGGCGGGAAGAGCAGAAGGACAGGGAAGAGCAAAGCCCCTGCAGTGCTGGCAGCCAGAGCGCGTCTGGTTCCTCGGGTGCCTCTCTCCGAGCAGGGCTGGTGCTGTGCCCTCCTGTGCTGTCCCCAGCCAGCAGCAGGGGACGAGATGCACCGCCCAGGCTGGGTGGGAAGGTGCCAGGAGCTGCTGTTGCCTGGAGAAGACAAGAGAACCGACGCCTCCAGGGCACTGGAGACTCCCTGCCCCAACAGCCTGGGCAGCCCCAAGGGACATGTGGCACGTCAGAGCCCAGCCATGGCTGCTCCCCGAGGGAGCGACCAGCCTGTACCTGAGATGGATGTATCTATATTAAAAAGGTGCAAAGCCCAGGTGCGATCCCAGAGTGATTTGTAGGGGCAGGGTCCTGGCACCTACTGGTCCTGCAGGGTTGGGCAGCCAGTTGTGGCTGGTTCTGTGCTGCATGGCTGCTCGTCGTTACCAGTTTCGAGCAGGACCAAGGTCTCTTATCATCGTCCCCTGGCACTTGTCCCTCCAGCCCAGAGGTTCACCTTCCTCCTTCGAGAACCCGATGCTCGCAGTTCTTCCCATCTAAATAGCGTCTGTGCAGAAACACAACAGATGACCAGCCTCTTCTGGCTCTGTCTCCTCTCTCTATTACCTGGAGGACTCAGGACGCACCACTCTTGTTTAGCGCAGGTATTTTCAGAATTCAAAGCCAGCCCATTCTGGTTGCATCCAGCACGTAGCAGGCTCGTGCTTGAGTTCAGCACTCGGGGCTCAGGCATTCACAAGCTGAAATGCCCCTGTCAACTGCCTGAATGCCGACTGGTCAGCTGGATTCGGCTCCGTATTGAGATACCCAAGTACGGGCGTCTGAATAAAAGCCTACGTGGGAAGCAGGCTCTTAAACTCACAAGAGAGACTGGTCAAAGGGGAGGCAGTCAGTCCTGAGCCTGGCGACTGCAGCCTCAGCACTTGGGTCTGCGTGAGCATTCTGGAATGAGAGCCATGAATGGGGGCTCGGGAACATCTGAGAGATGCGCAGGGGTTGGTAGTTCTGCCCCAAGAACAGAGCCACCCCGTCCCAGAGGACAGACCTGGAAAGGATCAGGCACTTCTTGCGGCTCACATGCCTGTTGGACTCCCTGGCACGGCTAGGGAAGCTGGAGAAGTTGATCCTGCAGATATCCCTGGGTGAGTGAGATCCTCTTGAGATGGTCCCAGAGCAGGAACCAGCGCATGGGATGTGTGTCGGGTGCAGATGGTGGCAGCGTCACCCTAACTGTAATGGCCACAGTCAAGGCTTGCAAGGAGGAGCAAAACCTTTTCTTGGACCCGCTACTCTTAGATGGGAGGAGCAGGGAACTTCCCAGCCCGTGCACATTGCTCCTCAGGGCTCTGCCCAAACGCTTGTCTCCTTTCCCCAGCATCTGTAGGCCTTGTGAAACCAAATCCATCTATCTGCTCAGTCATTCCAGTTCCCTCTCACG